TGAATCACATGATGCAAGATTCAAGTAATTAGTTGTGCTGCTCTTGCCAACTTTGCTTACAAATTCAAACTCTTTTAATAGTTTAAAAAATATATAAAAATAATACAGATTAACATGTTTTTATGTTTCACAGCCGTTCGTCAATTATTACAGTTGGCAGAATTTTAGAAATTTAAGATTTTGAACTCTGTCAATGTTTGCACCACTTCTGTATAAAACTTTTTTCCTGTTTCTTTGTTTTTTTGAGTTTTGATGCTCTAATAGCAACTTTAATTTTAAATGTACCCAATATTTTTTTTTTTTATGCAGATCATACGCTGCACACAGTTTGTTCCAAAGTCTTAACAGGTTGGCTGTTTTTCACTCTTACTGTCAAAAACCTAAGACGCAGTCACATCTATCTTATCTTTTATTCTTGTACATCTCTCTTTTCTCTTTGCTTTTTCATAAATAATCTGCAGCAGCTTCATCAATGGTGATGATCAAATCATTTTGAATAGAATAGAATAGGAACAGCCTTTATTGTCCCACGGATGGGAAATTCAAGTGTAACAGCAGCAACAGATAAAAAGAGTCACAAAAAAGTTCCTAAATGTTAAAAAGAATATACAACAAATTAAGATAAACAATATCAATAATAATTTTCAGTATGTGTTGGAACAATGAAACATCAGAAAGACAAGTTTAGTGTCAAGAATCTGCATAATAAAGATTTAAAAGGTTCATTACAGGTGTCCAAAGAGGTACGTCATTTTGAAGCATCATTAATATGGTGCTATGTCATACTTGTTGCCAACATAAGGTGTATTTGACAAAAAATGAAGCTTAGCAGCTGCTGTCTGCAGCATCCTTTGGGTTATACTCCGGTCACAGTGACCCATTTCAAGATATTTATATCCCCAACAGTCTCCCAAGAACAACGATGCTATTTCTGTTTTGGTTTTTGCTCTTCCCCTGACTTTCCTGTCCCATTTCTTATCTCTCCATATAAACTAGTTACTGGAGGTCACCCAGTTTGAAAAGAGAGAATCATTAGACAGAATGGAACCAGGGCATCATTAAACCAAGGTGCTGCTCTGATGCAACGTGACTCACTGAGCTCACAGGACGAGGGCCATCCGAAAGTCTGGCAGTTTTGGCATGTAAAACCATTTTTTCCATGCGATGCAACAAATGGTTGACTATTAAATCACGTGATACGTCAGTCATGCTTCCATCGAGTTTGTTTTGAGGAAATCTCAACAAGCGGACCATAAAATTAAACTTAAGAAGACAGCTGAAGCTATTTTCTTACGCCTACACTTTACACTGGAGGTCTGTGGGTGATGGAGACCTTGTTGTATTGCAGGAGGGAAAATATCCACACATACACCAGCAGCTCCCTCTAATGGAAGGTCTTGTGAATAATTTTCGCCTCATTTTATAGTAAAATGAAACGTCTCGTTTTAAACATTCAATACAGAAAGAAAACATTTGGAATTTTTTTTTTTAACTGAAACATTTCCCTATTGTTCTTTGGTGATGTTAATGCATTTAGAGCTTCAGTGAAGATTATTCTAAATGCTGTGAGATAGATTGAATGATGGATACTCGATTCAAAGTTAACTTAATTAAGGTGTTAGTCTGTTTTACGAGTTATTAACTTATAACAATGTGTTAATGAAATCATTTTCTCGTGTTTTCTTTTTCAAAAGATGCAAAGCAGAAATGTTTATTGAGATTAAACTTAAAAATCAAGTTATATTAGGGGTCTACAGAGAGTTCAAGTATTTGAACTAATAGTTTAGAGAGTACAATGTAACCTGCCAGCTTCCTGAATGATCCAATAATGCTTCATTTGGTTTCTTTCCTCCCAGAGAGAAGAGTGACCATTGGCAGAACATAAGATTTAATAATGACATCAATGTTCTTCACTCACTTCAGTGCAGGGCCTGTTGAGGGGGGTATTGGCGACCTGGCATGTGCCTGATTCCCCCAAAGGCTGTCAGTCTTTGTTCTTGGAGGAGAGTTTATTGTCAGCTGATATTTTCAGAATGAGCTTGTCTTCTTAAGTCCAGTGTTTCCCATCTGATGCTGAAAAGCAGTGATAATAAGTAGAGATGAAGTTAGAGAGCCCAGACTGACATGGTTTGGACATGTCCAGAGGAGGGACAGTGGGTGTACTGGTAGAAGGATGTTAGAAATGCAGCTCATAGAGTGAAGACATGAACACCTCACAGCCAAAAGATTGAGTTAGCTGTGTATTAGCTATATACATTAGCTATATATATTCTGGGCCTTCATATACCTGCCAGTTCTTCAGCTCCTTGCATCCTCTCTGCCTCTACACCATTACCATCTCATCATCTCCTTTCACTTTTCCTCCAGTTTTTTTCACTCCTTGTCCTTGTCCCCAACCCTCTTCACTTTCCTCCACACTCCTCCTCCTCTAACTCCCAGTTGTCCAACCTGTGCTGGACCTCTGATGATCTCATTCTTAACCTTATCCATCCTTGTCTCTCTTAAGGAGAACCTCAACATCTTAATTTCTGCCACTTCCAGTTCTGTCTCCTGTCTTTTTGTCCATGTCTCTGTCTCCAAACCATACCACAGGTCTCACCACTGTCTTGTAAATGTTTCCTTTGACCTTTGCTGACACTTTTGTCTCAAGACCCTCCTGAAAATTGTCTTGGAAACTCCATTTTCCTGGACAGTGGACCCCAAGTACTTGAAGCCCTGCCCTTTTGTGACCTCTGCTCCAGCCTCACTGTTCCTTCTTTACTGCTTATTTCATCTTAGCTGTTCATCAAAATCAGTTTATGAACAAATCATAGGCCAGACTATTGTTCATATCACATTTACAAGATTTAAATTCAAAGTCAACTTGTCATAAAGAAAAGCTAGATACATTTTTATGACTGAGTAAACATTCTGTTGATTTCTTAGCACAAAGGTTAGTGAACAGATTTTGATGTGCAGCTAAATTCTTGTTTTGATGCATTATGTTGTTTTCTGATTGTTTTAAGAATGTGTGTTTTAAACTTTTTAATATTGCATTTGTTTCGTGTTGTATTTATGACAGACAACCATCCATTTTGTTGAACCTTATGGACAATAAAGTTATATTGAATCGTACTGAATGTTCCTTTTATACAGCAGGTGCTGATTATAAACATGAAATAGGCAACTCATAATGAATCAGATGAAATCACTGGGAAAAAAATATAAATAAAAGAATGGGAAAAAATAGTGGAAACGTAATAGGATAATTTTTATAATTGTATATTTTGATTGTTCTTCAGGTTTTCTTTGTTTCCATATTTCCGAATGCATATTTTTCACTTACCTTTCACTACTATGATGGATGATGATCCCATAAATGTGTCTTTCTGTCTGTTAGCAAAATATCTCATGAATCAGTGGGTGGATTTTAACAAAACTCAGAAAACTGAATGTAAATACAACTAATTACCTTTTCAAGATTGCCACCATAGCCAATGGAATCTTAGAAAACACAAACATGGGTATATAACTGTCACTGTTACAGATATTGAGCTAAAATTAGGTGTGGTAGTAACTGAGAGTCACCATCATTACATACTCCAAGCACTAATAGACCTTTGGGTCCCAGTCACTGGGTTGGGATTACGGGTGCAGCGTTAGAATAGTTCCATTCATATCTAAGTGACAGGAGTCTTTATGTTAATGTTGGTAATTGTTTATCTGCTTCTGTGCCGCTTTCATGCAGTGTCCCACAAGGCTCCATTCTTGGACCCTTTCTGTTTTCATTGTATCTGCTCCCCTTGGGGTTTGTCCTGAGGAAACATGGTCTTTCATTTCATTGTTATGCTGATGATTCTCAGATTTATCTGCCCTTGAAACCTAACAGTTCCTGCTCCATTCACCATTTGCTAAATGTCTTGATGATATCAAGACTGAACTATGAACTTTTTAAGTTTTAATGCTCAGAAAACTGAGGTCATTGTTCGATACTGTGATCTTATTGTTAAGTACATTGGTAACAGTTCCTGTTTTAAATGTGCTATATAAATAAATCTTGACTGTGAAAATCGATAGTAGTTGGAATGCTAATATAATTTACAGATGCTTTTCTTTTTATTATTTATAATCAAACAACATTTTGGGATAGGAAGAATTGGGCAAATTTGTCTGATTTGTTTTGAGGAAGTAAAAGAGCAGGACCTGTGGAAACCTGACCATGTGCTGGGTTTTATTTAGTTTAAAGGCAGCACAGTCCTGCAGCGAGTCTTTTGGGATCCTTCATTCTACGAGTGGGGAAAAATCCCTTATATACGCTAAGAAAAAAAAAGACGATTTGTTTAAAAATCTTGTTTTATTATTAAATTCTTATCTTCCCAACAGCCTCTTTGGTTTTACGAGTACTTTGATGTAGCAAACATTTACTTCCTTAGACTTCCCGAAGAAGCTACATTATTTGTAAATACTCCCAGTATAGTCACTGTTTTGTGCACAAACGTCTCTTTTTTTTTTTTGCCTCGTCCATTAAGTCCACGTAGGTGCACAGGTCAAATAAAAACATTTATCTCAAGTTTTTCCTCATTTACATCAACAAGTAAACAAACAAGCATGGGGACCTTTATAATGAACCAACTGTACAACAATATATAATAATTACCATAGAAAATTAGCTTCAAATAATGTCGATTTAAACATGACAGAACTTGGATTCAAAGGGGAATGTAAAAAAAAAAAAGAGATCAAATAATATGAAAATCCTCTTGACACTCTGATGGTGTACAGGTTATGGATGAGTTAAAGACAAAAGTAATAACATAAAGAGCTTTTTTTGTTTTACGGCTCTAACTCATTTCCAACCACATATTCAAATTATGATCATCGCAATAGAAGAGATGAGTAAACAAAATTGCAAAAATGTACAATTCAAAAACAAACTACAAAAACAATTCAGAAAACATTAAAGTTTAACTAATGAAACATTTTTCCTATAGTCTGATTACTTTGTAAAAGTGAAATGGCGCGTAAAAGACAAAGAAGAAAATTACGTTTGTACATTTCATGGTTTATGGTTCATCGTGTTTTCCACGATGAAACAATTCTGTGCACAGCATGATTTATTTATTTTTTGGGGGTGATGGGGGGACTGTTCGCTGCGTATAGATGTGGAATTATCTAAGCGGCACACAGAGGTGACACGCTGAGGTCACTGAGTTCTCCGACGGACGCACACGTTTTGGCGACGTGTAGCCACAAAGCCATGTTTACAGTAACACTTGTATGAGCCGAAAGTGTTCACACAGCGAGCGTTCTTGCAGGAGCTGATGCGGGGGCCTGGTTCTGCGCACTCGTCAATGTCTGGAACAGACGAACACGTTCAATAAGTCAGTGAGTGTAAAGCTCCAACAGGAATGTGTGTATGTGTAACAACTACAAACCTATACAACGGGCACGGGAGTGGTCTAGCCTAAAGCCTGTGTTACATTCACACATGGTGCCCAGATAGGAACGGACACAGCGGCCGTTTGTGCAGCTGCACTCGTCTGAGTCCTCCTCTGAACTGTCACCTGGGAATGAGCCGACATGAAAAAAGAAAGCATAAGTGAACAAGAGTGCAATATACAGCACATTACGTGCCCTATTGACAAACTACTATACAGTAATACAACGCAGGGGTGTCAACCTCAATTATAACAGGGGGCCAAACTTAAAAACTTGGTCCAAGCCACAAGCCGGTTTAGTTTAGTTAGCTTAAGTCAGATACCCGACATCTTTTCTTGGTTGCAGGTTCAACAGGAGTTGAATTGGTCCCATCAGAAGTTCTCTGTCACTTCCACGTCAAAATCAAAGATGACTGAAAAATACATCCTTTTTCTGGCTTCAAAATTAGCCAACTGTCATGAGAATTCTGCACTAAATGAAGCATGCGCCATGTTTTAAGCAAAATATGAACCAAAAACATATTTTACATTTAAAATATTGCATTGAGGGGCCAGATAAGATGTTAACGAGCCAGATTTGGCCCGCGGGACTTGAGTTTGACACATACCTATAGCAATAGCCCAGACAAACAACAATCCTGTACAAAGTTTGACCTTGATTTGTGACCTTGATCTTAGAGCTTGGTTGATGAAAAGATTGCAGCATGCCATGTAATGGTGGTACAAATTTGTATCAATTATTGTTAAATTATTTTGAGCAGATCATAAATAATGTTCTGGACAAGTAAAGACCTTGTTTTTAATTTTACCTTGATTCGTGACCTTGAAGGTCAGGTGATGAAATGTTTACAAAACACTCCGTCTAGTGATGATGTATATGAAGGTTCATTAAATTATCTTCAGCGGAACAGAAGTTATGGCTCGAAGAAGCAAAGACTTGGTTAATTTTTGACCTTGATCTCAGATCTTGACATTGAAGCTGGGGTGATGAAAAGTCTACGAGTCACTCGATGATGCACTATGTGTATAAAGTTTTGCTAAATTATCTTGAGTGGATCAGAAGTTATGATCCAGACAAGGCAAAGTTTACAGACAGAGACTACACCATAATAAATCCACCTTCGACAGGCTTATAAAAAAAATCAGTGGAGGGTCACCTGTCTGACACGAATGTATTTACAACAAAGATAACCTGGATTGTAGTTGGCAAAAGCTGCCAGGAAATCCTGATCCCCATCTGACTCGGTCTCCAGATGCATCTCACACAGACGACTGAACATCTCTGAAGACAGAAAAATATATGCTTCAAAATTGAAGTGAGGTGGGCAGAAGGCGAAACTGAAATTGAACCGAGTCTTCAGTGGAGTCACCTGAATTCCTGGTGGGACACGTGTTACATTCAGGCCCCCAGCCTCGACCGTAGTGACAACAGCATTCTGAGTAAGTCACCACCACGTCAATGGGCCGACTGCAGATGAGACCCTCGTCAACCTGCACGAAACATACGTCTTTGTGTGCTGCGGTGCGATCTAGACCAGAAAGGAAGAGGAGATTTTATTTTCTTATTCTCACTTTCTTTCACTCATAACCAAAGAGCTGAAGTCTTAAAAGTATACAAAGATAAAATGCATTCAGTGTGGTTCATCTGTGAGTGGCGCTCTAAAATTACCAATTCGTCTCCAGGTGACAACACGATCAAATGTTTCAAACTGGAGAGATGCCAATCTTGTGTTACTTTGTTTTGTCAAAGTTTGGTCTGGACAACATTTTATGTGGAACCAAAATCTATTTTCTAAGCACTTTTAATAAATAGCTGTTGAGACTTATTACACTTTAAAAGGTTACACAAGCATTTCTAAGAAATCTGTTTAGTTACACAGAATGTGTACAATTAAAAACCACTATAACTGACCTCATGTCTGATAAACAATGGTAACTTTTCAGCAATTAGTGGCTTGAAGAAGTAGTCAAGTTCCTTGAACTGTATTAACGTCACATTGTGTGATGTTACAACCAAAAACTTGAAAGTATTTTACAGGGATTTTCTGCACTAAACCAATACAAAGTAATTGTGAAGTTGAAGGAAACAATACATGGTTTTCTAAAAGGCTATATTTATGGTGTGCATGTTGCCAGATTGAATCCCGACTGGGGGGTCTTTCTGGGTGGAGTTAGTATATTCTCTCCGTGCATGTGAGGGTTTTCTCTGGGTATTCGGGTTTTCTCTCACAAACCAAAAACAAGCATGTTAGGCTGACTGGTAACTTTAAATTGTCCTTAGGTTTGAGTGAGAAAGTGAATGGTTGTTTGTCTCATTTGTGTCCATGCGTTCCTGTGATGGACTGAAGACCTGTCCAGGGTGTACCCTGCATCTTGCCCGGCCCTGGATTTTGCAGGGCTGTTTTGGTTGATATGCCTTTGCAATATTGCATGAACATCAGGGGCAGTGCCAGTGGATTGACAGACTGGGGTGGTGGTCCCCCCCCTTCAAAAAGTGTGGCTGGAGGTGTGTTCCAATTATAGGGGCATCACTCTCCTTACCCTCCGATAAGGTCTATCTTGGGATGCTGGAGGAGGGAATCCAATCAATGGTCAATCGTCGGATCCAGGAGGAGCAATCAGAATTTGGTCCTGCCCGTGGAATGCTGGACCAGTTCTTTACCCTCACTAAAGTCCTCAAGAGGGCAATGGAGTTTACCCCTACATATGTTTTGTGGACTTGTAAAAGGCATTTGACTGTATTCGCCAAGGTACATCGTGGGAGTGGGTTGCTCTGTGAGTATGGGATTGGGAATCTGTTGCTATGAGCCATTCAGTCCCTATACAAGCAGCGCAAGAATTTGGTTTGAATTGCCAGTAGTAGGTTGGGTCCCTTCAGGTTGGGAGTTGGACTCTGCCAGGACTGCCCATTGTCACCAATTTGGTTCATAACTTTTATGGACAGAATTTCTTGGTGCAACCAGGGGGCCAAGGGAGTCTGGCATGGCGGCATCAAGATTTCTTCTCTGCTAGTCGTTGATGACGTGGTCCTGTTGGCATCATCATGCCGCATCATCTTCAGCTCTCTCTGAAACAATTCTCAGCTGCGTATGAAGTGGCTGGGATGAGGATCAGCACCTCCAAATCTGGGGCCATGGTCCTCAGTCAGAAAAGAATGAATTGTCTCTCCGGGTTGGGAATGAGGTTCTGCCTCAAGTCAAGGAGTTCAAGTACCTTGGGGTTTTGTTCACGAGTGAAGGAAGAATGGAGCGGGAGATTGACAAAATAATTGGCACGGCTTCTGTAGTATTGTGGACTCTGTGCCGGTCCTTTGTGGTGAAGAGGGAACTGAGCTACAAGGAGAAGCTCTCTGTTTACCGCTCAGTCTATGTTCCTACCCTCACCTATGTTCACCAACTTTGGGTGATGACTGAAAGAACAAAATTGCAGATACAGGTGGTTGAAATTAATTTTCTCTGCAAGGTAGCTGGACTCTCCCTTAGAAATAGCGTGAGAATTTCAATTATCCGGGAGAGACTTGGAGTAGAGCCACTGCCCCTCCACATCGAGAGGAGCCCATTAACATGGTCCAGGCATCTGGTAAGGATGCCCCTGGATGCTTCTCTAGGAAGGTGCTTCAGGCATGTCCGACTGGGAGGAGACTCCAGGTAAGACCCAGGACATACTGGAGAGACTGTCTGTCTCAACTGACCTGGAAACGCCTTGGACATGCCATGGATTAAAAAGATCTGTGAGTTGTTCAAAGCTTGGGATGTTGTTTTATCACCCAACTCAGCTTTAAAATTCTTAACAATTTTATCCCTGACCTGCCTGATATGTTCCCTGGTCTTCATGATGCTGATCATTTTGTTCCGATACAAATCTCTAAAGTCTTCACAGAATAGCTGCATTTCTACTGAGATTAAACTACACACATTTGGACTTTGATAATTTGGTGACTTCTAAAGACATCTGGTTGACCTGGATTTTAGGTAAAGGCTATCAAACAGAACAAACTTTTCAGGTTTTCAGAACATGAAATGTTTTTAAATAACTTACAATTTTCCTTTCGCTTCACAATTATGCACAACTTTATGGTGGCCAAACATAAAATTCCAGTAAAACACTTTAAAGTCCGTGGTTGTAACAAGACAAAATGTGGAAAAGTTCAATGAGTGTGAGCTCTTTTTTAAAGTACTGAAAAGGTCCTTCTTACACTGAACGGTGATGATGTTCATGAGACACTGAACAACTGCCTGTGTGGCAATACTTAATAGCTGTATAAAAAAACACCAATTCAGTTTCTAAAAATCTAAATGGGTCTAAATGTTTCATGGACAAGCCAAAGGACTACAAAGAAAGATTGCCTATATCAGAATTTTTAGTTTATATAAGAAACTAAGTTTGAAAAAAGGAAAACACTTCAATCCTGCACAAGAGTTTTATGGCGTCAGTTTCATGTTTTGACCTGTTTTGTTACATCGGGACCAAGAAAGCAAGTGAACATGATGGGCAGGCATGGCAGGAAGCCACAAGTCATTTTTAGCGGTCAGGCGAGCTGGTTTTACCCACCGTCATAGACGCACTGTTTCAGCGCTGCGCTGAAGGTGAGGGGAGGGTCGCAAAAACAGTGAAAGGAGCCCGGCGTGTTTTCACACCTCCCATTCTTACAGTATGAGGGGTCCTGGCACTCATTCACATCTGCAAAGGGCACCACAGACACTGGTTACAGTTTGAACATCTGGATGGGGCCAGCTCCTAGTCTGTAGGGTGGTCATCTCAATAACAAAATAGATAGATAAATAACTGTTAAATGCTCCATTTGGGATGCTTTCTGTACTGTTTTTTATGTCCTAGATCATGTAATGAGTTAATTGGTGAGGTTGGTGGATTAATGTTCTTGTGTCCACCTTCATGTATGCATCTCCAATAGTTTATCTCCACATGAAGCAGTATGATATAACACTGCAGCTGGTGTCTAGACAGAAGGCAATCACAATGAGATAGCTTCAACAATAAAACTGTACATTTGGTTCCAGCAGAACTTGTTTGCCAACAATATGCATGAATTTTGTAAAAGGAGAAGGGAAAAGATAATGTTTATAAGGTCAGAGTGTAGGGGTTCGTGGGTGTCTTATGTGGTTGAAGTTGGAATTAAATCATGTATCATATAACTATACCAGGTGCGGTGGAGGGTTCCCTGTCGATTCCAAAGGACCATACAGTTAAAACAATCAAAAAGCTACATACTGAACCAAAAACATAATCTTTCAGACATATTTTGAAAAGTATTTTCAGTACTTTCCCTACCTTTCTAGTTTCGACCCTGTCTCTCTGGAACCATAGAAAAAGCAGAGATGTCTACTCAAACTGAGGTTTTGGTGTGAAAACTGGTATGTTTTCGAAAAAAAAAGGCTTTCCAAAGTATAATTTTATAAAAACGCTGTTTATGTCGCATCACTGAACACCTGTGGGAGCAGATGGGCGTGCTGTTCTTTCCAGAGTGACTAACACAACCACACTGGCTGACTTGTGACAAATGCTGGTTGAAGAATGGGATACCATCAAACAGGTTCATGTGGCTGGATATGGTTCTTCCGCATGCTACTGAGGCCCATGTGTGTTAAATTAATAAACTGTTAAAATGTCAATATGTCTTGTTTCAACAGACTTCTATCATCCAATCCAACAAAGGACATCAAACAAGAGTCAATATCAGGATACTATGGATATAACCAACATAATCAACCCAGCTGCTCAACACACAAATGCACTTTCCTGACAAATGCAACATATTTTATTAGGAAATAAACAGGCTTTTTGACAGTATAACATTTACTGCCAAGAAGCATCGTTACAACAAATAAATGATTAACCAAACAGAACTTTCCTTATTCCTTCCCGTACATCTGAAGCATCAAAAGAGCACCTCAAATACCATGTAGGGCTTCCAAGTCTTTTGTTTTTTAATTAAATTTGTATTTTAAACCTTCTTTCTGCCTGCTCTACTATAAAGGCCTTATTGTTGAAGTGCTACACAGATGGTTGATCTTCTGTGAGATTCTTGAATCTCTAGGAATTTCGTTACTTGTTTGAACAATTCATGCTCCAGTGCTCTGTTAGAATGAGCAGCCAGAATAAGAACATTTATTGCTAGTTTCCAACTTTTTGTGAGTTTTAGGAACATGGAAATGGCTGTGCGCTGACGCAATGCTTTCTCACAGATTCACATGTAATTCTCTTAAACTTATGGATGTCTTTCAGTCGTCTTACTCCAATAATAAAACAAGCGGTATGCTGATGTCCCCCATCACTGATGTATTTGAAGAGTGAATGTTTGCAGTTTTCAAGTTTTTTCTGGACTGGAATTAAAAAAAAGAATGCAAGTAAATCTTAATGTTTTTGGTGCAAGATATTCTAGTGGGTAGGAGTTACAGTGTCTAGAAGAACAGAGGGAGGTTTATCGTTTCTTTCCGAGGCAGCGCAGTGTAATGAATCTTGGTCTTGAAAAGTTGAGGTGAAATGGAGGAATCATGGGGGGCCAATGGTGACCTTGGCTCCCATAGATTAATCTTTGGCCGCCCCAATCATTTGAGAAAACTTTACTTTAAGCAGTATAAAAACAGAAAACCGTTTTCTCAACTCACTGAGGTGGCCATATAAATATGCTGTTGGCCATCTTGGATTTTGACATGGCAACCTAATTTTTGATGGTGCCCTTTTTTACGCTTAGATGATGCCACACACCAAAATGGAAGTTGGTTTCTCACTTTTATTGTGCTCACAACATGCACAGATGGAAGAACAAAAGGGATCCCAACTCCCCCTTTTTGTTCCATGATGGGGGACAAAAAACTTGGGAGTGTCTTTTGACGGGGGTTTGACATTTAATAAACATATAGGCTTCCGTAGTCAAGGCCAGTTTTTCCAATTACGTCTTTTAACCAAGAACAAGGCTTTTTAAAATCCTTCTGAACTGAAAAAGACCATTCATGCGTTTATCAGGTCTTGTTGTTTACTTTTAAAGCTCTTACTGGTCTTGCCCCACCTTATTTAGCTGATAAGGTAGCATTCTATGAATATCAGATGACTTTAAGGTCAACTAATACTTCTTTAATGTTTGCCCCAAAGACCAAATACAAACATTTGTGTGACCGGGCCTTTTCAGTCGCTGCACCCAGAATGTGGAACGAACTACCTCAGGACTTCTCCATCACTGATCTGAGTCTTTTTTTAAACTAATCTCAAATCCTTTATATTCAGGCAGGCTTTTAATACCTGGTGGCACTCTGATGTTTTTAATTGTTTGTTTTTAACGTTTGTACTGAGAAGCTTTTTGAGCACCTTTTGGTTGTTGTGAAATGCTCGAAAAATAAATGTGGACCGATTGAGAATTGTAAGGCTTTTCTGAATAAAGTCATTGTAAAATAAAATAACATGAAAAAAACTGAAACAAGAACACTTTTCACCCATTTACAGTAGATTCAGTTTTATAATACTTTCATATGTTGCACCACACAGGCAGAAATCCTTTTGTGATCAATTTAAAGTCTACATTTTGTTTTGCTCAAGTTCAAGTTCAGCCTTTTCTTGTTTATTTTGTAGCTCATGTTATTTTTCTCGCCCAGCCCTTGGTTTTGTAACGTTTCTGGTACAGAGAGTCAGAACTCACCCGCCTGCTCCTCAGGAGTCACGCAGCTGTTGCGGTCGATGGCCAGGGTCCAGGGTGGAGAACAAATACAGTAGTACGAGCCCACAGTGTTCACACATACTCCATTCTTACAGTTCTCTGGATTGTCACACTCATTCACATCTGTGCAACAAAAGCCGTGATGTTCAAGATTATTCCACCAGCAGCTGGATAAAAGCAGTTTAAGCAAGGAAGAGAAGGTTTACTCACCTGCTACTGTTGCCGTTACACATTTTTTCTTGTTGAAGTCGGGGGTCCAGGGCCAGTTGCAGACGCAGTAGAAGCCTCCTTCAGTGTTGACGCACTGACCATTATCGCACAGTGACTCGTCGTGACATTCATTCACATCTGGGAAAGAAAGCGAGCAAAAACAATCATACAACTGCCCCAAACTGCTGCAGTCTATAAAAGCTAGCATAACATTTACCACTGTGGATTTCCAATCTTTGAATTGTTTAGGAGTAATATTTGAGGAGTCATTTTACATCATGAATCAAAGCATTTACCAATGCACTCGAGAAGGTTGCTGTCATAGTAGAAGCCTTGTTGACAGTAGCACTCGTAGCCTCGCAGCGTGTTTTCACAGCGGCCCTTTTTACAGATTTCCTCAGCAAACAAAGAGCACTCATCGATATCTGAGGAAGAAAAAAATCACTTTTGACAAATTTACATTAAAATACAATACGATAAGAAACAATGTGATAGGACGCAATACAATATAACGACGAAACTGCACACAGTATGGCAATACGATTCAATATGACCCAACAACGCAATTCAATATGATACAATACGATTACAATTTGATACAATGTGACAAAATACAATAAAAAATGTGATGTGATACGATACAGTAAGATGCAATACGATATAATACATGAAATACGATGTGACGATACAAAACAATTGTTTGTGGAACAAATTGCCTTTGCACATTAAACAGGGATCCTCCATTTTGTTATTTTCCCTAAAATACTATCATTAATTTGAAGGAGTACATGTAACAAAACTTTCTCAAGTTTAAAGCCTTCACTTCTAACTATTTTAAAAACATTTTTATTTGCTTGTTGCCGTGTTGTTGCCGTTTTTTAACCTCCCCAAAAAAGGTTATTATAAAGGTTTTAAACTGTTGGTTAAAAGACAAAAAAAA